AGAATTATGACTGATAACATTTTGCTAGTGTGTACCGTGTACCAAGTTTTTAGGAGCTCAATATAATTTCTAGAGTATCTATATAAATAACATCTACCCACATAATATAACCTAAGATTTGTCATCATTTGACCATGCTTCCCATGTAATTTAACATACCAGATAAGCCTAATTAATTGATAAGTAAACACTTCTCTTGAGGTGTTCCAGGGGCCCTTTGGAAAGACCTCAGAGTTATCTAAGAAGTCAAATGAATTTCACTTAGAATGTGATCTTAAGGAATTTTGTCAAAAATATTAAGGTTTCAAAGCACTTAGTCACAAACAGGATCACGAGTACTTTGTGATCGTGCTTCACGATTACTGTGAAGCAATGCTTATTTTCCCTTAGTCAAAATGACAATAAAAGATTTCAAAACCAAATACAGAAAGGTATAACACATTGCTTAAAATGTAAAGGAACTTTACAATATGTTATCAGAAGCAGATTAATATTAAAAGAAAATTTTGAAAACCAAATTCAGGTTTTATACCATTTTTCCCTTTAATATTAAAATTCATATACTCAAATTTACTTAGTCCTGACCACCCATAGAATTCCGTTCTAAAGATTCTTTTCTCATAAACTTTCTTCAACTTTGTATATTCATATTAATTTGTCCCTTAAATTTTCTTTCCCATTTAGAAATAACCAGTTTTATGACAAAATTATTTCCCATTCCATTAACAAAACACATTTTCGTTTCCTATACCTTTTTCTTCCTTTTTTTTACATTTTTTTCATTTATTTTTATTAGTTGGAGGCTAATTACTTTACAATATTGTAGTGGTTTTTGCCATACATTGACATGACTCAGCCATGGATTTACATGTGTTCCCCATCCTAATCACATACAAAGATGTTTTCCTTATTAGAAACCTTAGTTTCTAGCAAAAACTTAAGAAACAAGTAATTATGAACTGTTTGCCAATCAGGAAATGCTGGCATGACAAACTGTGGACATATACGATAACCCATTTTCTTTTTTTAATTAACACAAGCCTCTTAAGATAAATAGAAGAGATTTGGGGCATGTTAAAGGATTGTGGGCCTTGGACTGTTCCTGGAGCCACACCTCTAGTTCTGTAAAAACTTGTTTTGTAAAACGAGCACAGCTCTTTTTAATTTCTCAAAGAAGTGCATGGCCACCTTAATGACATCAAAGGACTGATATGCCCATCCACCTTTGGTAGAATATTTCTCATTTCCTCATTTAACAGTGTGTGCGTGCATGCCCATTCATTCAATCATGTCTGACTTTTGCAACTCCATGGACTGTAGCCCACCCAGCTCTTCTGTCCATGGGATTTCCCAGACAACAATACTGGAGTTGATTGCCATTTCCTTCTCCAGGAGATCTTCCCAACCCAGGGATCAAACCCATGCCTCTTGTGTCTCCTGCATTGGCAGACGGATTCTTTGCTACTCAGCCACCTGAGAAAGCCCTATTTAGTTTGGGGAGAAGGCAAAAAAAAAATCCAGTCAGGCTCTTAATATCAGATACATGTCAGTTTAGTCAGAAGTGGCCTCCCATCTTGATTATCTGTTTACAAAAACTTTTGAGGGTCCACCCTGGGTTTAAGAAATTCTTTACCTAGAGCACTCAGTTTGGCCTTTGATCTGAAGAGGCTTGCGTACAGTCTTAGGTGGTATCATTTCTAATCATTTACCACTCTTCAGAGTGGAAGGGTAATTCAGAGAATTACTAGAGTACCAGGACTCAAAGAGGAGAGCATAATTATGTCAGCTTATAAAGTTTTTTTTAGTTACCTTTTATATCATTAACCTTTAGCCTTCAACAATAAATCTTTCATTGAGGTTATTTTGGGAGTTTTGGAGCCTTTGGGGCCTTCTGCATACCAGGTAAAATAGCTATTAATACAGTACTTCAGGATGAGAGCTGTCTTAAATGTTAACAATTTAGAAGACTTACCAATTTAAAGGATCCAAGGAGCTAGCCCTGTATTTTCTCCTGCTAACCTCAGTTTGGAAAAGAGAATGACTCTCATCACTTTTATTTCCAGTAGGCCCTGCAGGCAGGGATCCAGGAGAGAGTGACATGACAAGCCTGTTCTGCTGGGCTTTCTCTGAGTGCAGTTTTGGAGTGCCCAAGAATCCCATATTGGCCATTCCAGGGTGGGATTTCCTTTAATTCCTAATTATGTAAGTACTTGTGAGCATACAGAAACCCAGCTGGTATCCCAATAGGTTGCTGTCCTCCTGGAAGCTGTGGGGCCTGAGGCACAGTTTCCCAGTACTGATTCAACGGTCTGATTTCAGTGTGCATATGATCTGAACTTTCTGAGGACATTGTGGTGGATCAGACAGATGCTGCTTATGACTGTAGTTCCCCAAAGAGTTGCCCTTGGCTGTTTCCCCCTCTTGACAGTCTACTATGCCTGTGGGTCATCAGAGCACTGGATGATTTATCCTTACCATGTGCATCCTTAGAAGAGCAGTATTTACTTTACGGCTGCAGTGGAGTTCCCCTGCTGGACCACCACTGCCAGTCACAAGGATTGATCTTCAGACACTAACACTAGGTTGTCAGTCACCCGAGAATACCACTTGGCTGAAAGGAGCAAATGTCCTGTGTTCTTAGGAGCTATATAATGCAGTCTCTTGTTTTACTACCAGAAGTTTTTTTTTTCCAGCCATATAGCAACTTTTTTTTTCTTTATTTAGGCCAGTTTACCAAAAATGCAACCACCTGTGTTTCCCTGTGTGTCCGCCCAAGATCCCCTCCATCCTAGCATAGGAAATGCATGTGGGACTCTTTAAAGAGTCCAAGTCTTAAATAAAAACAGCTCAAATAAAATTTTTAGGATTATCAAGGCAATGAGATCCAGACATCAGAAGAACTCACTGGAACACCTAAGAAGGACCAAGAAGCTGGTGGGGCTTAATGGACCCACGCTGGCATCGAGTGCTGATTCAGGGTAGACTCCAGTTGTCCTCGTGAGCATCTCTGATATCCTGCCAGCTTCACTATGCATATATCAATGAAAAAATCAGTAGTTGATCTGAGAAAGAAATGGAAAATTTATTTTGAACCTACCTGAGGATTATAACCTGGGAAACAGAAAGCTGTGAGGACTGTTAGGTGTCCAAGCACAGTTCTGTAAATTGTTTTAGACAAAGGATTATACTTCAGATGATGTGTCAACAGTTTATACAATCCAGAACTGCATGTACAAAGTGAGGAGTGGGTCATCCTGACCCTTTACAAGATTGAGAAGGAATAGTATCTCCTAAGGAGGTTGGGTTGATACAGATGCACAATACAGACTAAAGGGGAAGGAGAAAGCCCAAACAGGCAGAAAATAATTTTCTGTTTAAATTCTTCTGGGCATGCCATAAAATACAACTATTACTTCATCAAGCCAAAAGATACAAGGTGGATGCTAATGGGCAGTTAAAAGCAATAGTTGAAGCCAGAGTCAACAAACCCATCTCCTTTTTATAGTCAAGAATAGGCTGGAAAAGCCAATGTTTTTCTGTTCTACTGGAAGGTTGAGAACACCTTCCTGATTGAACCTGAGCCTTACTATATCTGCAAAAAGATTCAGGGTCTAGAACTCAGTTCTCGTTACCTCTGGGGGAATAGTCACACAGTGATTTGTCATTAAAGACCAACTGATAAAGCGTATTTCCAATGGACAGTGTGCTTAACCCTAGATGGTAACTGCTTAAAGCTTCCTCAGATCTCAATTTGTCACCTGCTTAGGAAGGCTGCTTACCTTAGATCTTAATTCCATTTGCAGTTTTTAGTGAGGATTTCTAGGTGTATGGGTAGATTTCGCCAGCCTGCTGACCTTATTCAGATTCCAGGGTGGTTTTCCAGCTGGAACTTGGGAGCCTGCTAGTCCCTAACCCCACTTTCAGTAGGTACTGTTCATGGAAGGCAACTCTAAAAGCAAAGAACCTTTTTGAGTACAAGGCCAGAGAGAATGAGGACCTAGGAGGAATGTAAATTTTAAGTTCTTTTTTAAATCCTGAGGACCACCATAAGGCTGCCAGCATTTTATATTGCCAGGTATAGACATGTTTAATAACTCACATCTGAAAGATCTTTAAATTTATTGACAAAAGGCAGGGAAGAATTGAGGATAAAAGTCATATTGAATGAATTTAGCTTCATGAAAAACCAGAGTCTTCTATATTTCTGTTTTATATTTCTTTCTGGGAGAAACTTTTATGAACTGTCACACCATTGACAAACCATGATTGTTAAAAACATGCATATTTTGGAGCTGAAAGTCTCAAGGAAGAAGGCACACATTTTATGAGATGTTTGATATAGTATGGCTAGTACTGTGGGTGGTGGGAGTCACTGGCAGGCTGAGGTTGTGAGGGAGAACTTAGAAGGTAGAGTTTAACATGCTGTATAACATTTTTTTTTCATTTGACTGGAATAGAGCATAACTGTGGAGAAAGCAATGGCAACCCACTCCAGTACTCTTGGCCTGAAAAATCCGATGGACTAGGCTGCAGTCCCTGGGGTCGCAAAGAGTCAGACAAGACTGAGCGACTTCACTTTCACTTTTACGCATTGGAGAAGGAAATGGCAGCCCACTCGTGTTCTTGCCTGGAGAATCCCAGGGGCGGGGGTGCCTGGTGGGCTGCCGTCTGTGGGGTCGCACAGAGTCGGACACGGCTGAAGCGACTTAGCAGCAGAGCATAACTGTCCTAGAGACAATAAACTTGGAAGGTAGTCTGTGCTGGACTTCTAGCTGCTTAGAGGAATAAAATAGTTGAAAACAAATTAGATTGTGTATCATAAACTTACTGTTTGGTTCTTCATTTCTAGCAGCTGTGCATACAGCTTGGCTTTCTCATTTCACAAAACCTTTTCCCTTGCTTTCGGCGGAGGGTAATTTTCAATTTCCATTTGGATTATACTTCGAAAAAAAATTCAGTCTATTTTCTGTTTTCTCTCTTTCATTCCTTACTTCTCTTAGAGCACCCAGGTGGCTCCAAACAGAGTCCTCGGACACAACCCCGAGATGAAGACTATGAAGGAGCTCCATGGAATTGTGATAGCTGCACCTTTCTGAACCACCCCGCACTAAATCGCTGTGAGCAGTGTGAGATGCCACGGTACACTTGAATTCCCAGGAGTCTGCACTAGGTTGAGAGTGTAACTTTGAGCACCCATTAGAAGAAAAGGAAACCTGGGGAATCTGTTCATCTACCCGGCCTTTTCATTTCAGATGACATGGGGTGGGGGGTGGGGAGAAGGACACTGTAGCCACTTGTGCTCAATAAATGAAAAATAGGGAGGGTTTTCCCCCCTGCTGTCTTAACTCAGTGCAGTTAGAGATAGAAAGGGATACTTGAAATGGGGAAAGGATTCACTCCTGAAAGAATGTACACAGAGAAGTCAAGAGCTCTTCTGTGAAACCCCAATCATTCAAGTTACTGCTGAGTGACCCTTATTTTATAAACTAGAACTTTGAATAATGGTGTAACATGTTACAGTTTATGCAGACAAACTGTGAATTGCCAGAGCAGACTTACCTGGTCACAGATCTCTGGAAAACCCAGGCTCCCCAGGCTTCTTCCTGTTGCTTCCTACTAAGGAAAAGGACAGGGAAAGCACTCAGAGGATGTTTTTGGTGGGGAGCAAAACAATAAGGGTATTTGTAATTGCTGCTTTTTTCAGGGGTAATTTCAAACACAGAAACAAGATGTTTTAAAATGTGACTTGTAGCAGTCAGGAATTCGGCATATCGTGCCCTTTGTTCGAAAGTACAATCAGAGGTGATAAGATTCCTTTTGCTTGTACAATGATTCATCAAGCTATATCAACACTGGTAACTAAGACCTAATTATGCCGCAGAATAGATAGATTTTTTAAGTTACTGCATGCTTTTATTAGGCCACTCGTTTTTAAAATAACCAACAAGTCCTTACGAATTCTGATTTTATGAATGACCTTCTCGTAAAACTGCGCTTTGCCAATAGCATAGTGAATGTATGCCGAATGTAAATCCATTCCAAAATCCACTTGGAATCTTGAGCTCAGCTGTGGTTCTATAAGAAACGTTTGCAGTCCATAGAGCCTCCCCACCCGGCCCTGCCTTCCAATTTTGTGACGAGTTCATGATGTTTACAGCACAGAGAATACTTGTGCCATAATCCTAATCTAGCTGAAAAAATTTACTATTACTCATTCAATAAAGATGTATTTGCACATATGTTAATAAATCAGTGTGAGGAAAATTATAGTTAGCCAATATCATAAAGTTGCACACTGCGCTATTTGGGGAGGAAGAAAAGGCTAGTTAAGAAATAAGATTAAGAGAAAGGTGAATACAAAGGACTTTGAAATTAAGAACTTAATTTTTACCATACTGTATTCAGATACGATACTAAGTTTGTTCAGATAGTTCAGATGATACTAAAGCAGTCCTTATTTATGAAATTAGAAACTTAGGGTATAAATAACTGAAGAGATATAAAATCATTTGACTCACTAAAGTGCACCACCAGAAAATTATTAATAGGACACTGAATTAGGGCAGTTGACGTTTCTTCCAAGCTCAAAATTGGATTTTGGAATCTCCCCTTATTTGGGTACATGTAAACAGCAATAAAATTGGTAAGTTTCCTAATCCTAAAGGATTTTACCTCAGGTAAAATACCTGAGGAGTATCTGCTCTCCCATACCAGCTGTCCCCCTTCTCTTTCACTCACACACAGGCACACAGGCACGCACGCTCGCTTCAAGCTGTCATTATATGCTAATTTAGCAGTAATCTCTGGCAGATCTGGAAAAACAAGCTGCACTTAATAGCATAATGAAACCAAAGGCATAATAACTTATCATAGCTTTCCATCAAAATCACAATTTCACACTGTACCTGCAGCTCTGAAAACATTTTTTTCATATGTGGAAAATGTCCTGAAAGTATCTACTTGTCTCACAGAGTCAGCGTGGCTATGTAATTACACTGATAAAACATCTCTCATATAACAACTGTGGCAAAACTGTGAAAATAAAGGTGAGAAAGCAGATGGGCTTAAAAGCATTGACCTGAAAATAGCACTTATTCTCTAAAAGCTTTTGTAGCACTGGTGTCTGTCAATCTCCAGTAAGTCTATCAGTCCTGCTGTTCTGTAATAATGCCAATGCCTTTGCCTTTGTATGGTTTCATATCTCTTTAGAGATGGTAAACCCCACTTGGTATTAAGTAACAAAATAGGGTAAAAAATACATATATTGCTTGATGTTCTAGCTAAAGGTTTACCCAGTATTCTTAGTGATATGCTGAAGTGGCAGCAGTTAACTTGGCAGTTGTCAGTTGAGGGTGAAGGTAGCATGTATGAAAACAGTTTGATGCTTTATTAAAACCATGTAGATGACTTTAAAACTATTGCATGAACATACATCCAGGTTATTGAACTGTTATCACACAGTAGATGCATGGTTCCAGTCCTTTGGTGATCTATCTAGTAAATCATTGTTTTCACCTACCAGGAAAAATGAGATACCAGTCTTATTTGATAGGTGTAGAGGGTGGGGTTTGAGACATCAGAGATTGATGTTTAAGGGAGTTTTGTATACGTTCATTTCTGGTTCTGCACACGTTTCATACACCAACATAGGCTGTAGTCAGTTTTTAAAATTAGCAAAATTACTTGACACCAATACATTTGATATGTTTAACTATGTCCCATATATAAACTACTTCTGGCTTGTGACCAGTTTGAACAAGAATTCTGTCACCTTTCAAGATGCCTTTTCAGAAGGATCTGGCTGCTGAGGTGCCTATGCTTTTTGGATCAGTTGGTGCACTTCTTGTTCCTAGTAAAAAGGTGTTTTCTTAAATTACAACCAGTTTGATGTATCTGGTAACATAGACCTGACTATACATTTTACATTATTTCACTGTTTTGTAAACTGAGTTTTTTGAAAGCACATTTGTCATTTTGTTCCAGTATATTGCCCCTTACATTTTGAGGTAGGTCTTAAAAATTCAAAGTGGCAAAAGAGGAGCCAGAAACTTTCTAAGCCTTGTAAAATGTTTCAAATAATGACCTTGTTTGAGAGAGTTAGAGGCAGTGGTGTTTTAAACAAAAGAAATGCATTGTAATAAAGGTAGTTTTAGAGCAGATTAATGATGGTGGGGAAAGTGTTGCTAATTTGTTTATTTCCCTGAAAAAATGGGAGTGTGATGAGCAGTTTAATAATTTTAAGGAGCTGGTCTCAACTTTAGTACTTATAATTATTATAAGAAATCAATATTTCCTTAAATTTTGACATTGCTTTGTCCCGGTTATCTAAGGTTCATATTCCAACTTTCTGTGGCAACTGAACTTTATATAGTATTTTAAAAGGTAATTGTAATGTTTTTGACAGTATAAACAAAAAGCAAGAATATAAGGCCTAGAAAAATTGTCCTTTGAAAATATCAATGATGTACCCTGGAATGTGAAGATGTCCCCTTATAGTTTAAATTGATTTATTCAAATATTGTAATCATTCTTCAGACTTTGAGTTTGTTACAGTGTGTGTCTGTATATCCATAGAGAAAAATGACAATTGAATTGTAACTTTAAAATCAGAATAAATCTGGCACTGTCTGTTGCACCACTACTGTATCTTTTTGAAAGAATTAACAGTATTTTCTTATTGTAAAAGATAATTCTGATAATTTCACATTCACCAGACATGTATTTTTTTTTCCTGTATTATTTGCATCCCCAAATATTTAATACAAGTAGGTTTTGCACGGCTTGAGCATTCAGAGATTAACAGAATGACAACTCAATTTTAATTTCTAAAGCCATGAAAATGTTGCTTTGAGACTGAACAATTCTGAATTCCTATTTATAATGACACCCGATGTCCATGTTTCCCTACTGTAAAAGAACTGATCAGTTTCTTGCCTACAACAGCAAGAACTTATTAAATCTTGTAAATACCGTGTCTCTTTTAGATTTCTGTGTATGCTGTGAATCAAAATTATTTTGAGGTGAAATTGTATTAAGACAAAGGCATTTTAAAAGGCTATGCATGCATCAAACCTCCAAACAGTACATATTCGGAAAGTCAAAGATTCCTGCAAAATAAATTAATAAAGTAAAAGCAAACACTACATTCTGTATCCTTTCTGTGTAGCTAGAAATGATTTATAATATCAAACCAGTCTAGTTCCTACATTCATATTTCTGGACTGAAATAGGCTGTCTCAGAAACCTCATCTTTCATCGCATCTCTTCTGTTCTGTTAGAAAATGTAGTCATGTTATATTTGGGGTATTAAGTATTTGTACATTACTGTAACTTAGAAATTGGTTAAAAGTATAAATAAGCAAATTTTATATAAAAGGTGGCATAGGTTAAGAATTTACATTTTTCACTCCTCATTAATACATCTTACTTACAAAAGAATGACTGGTTCTTTTTCTTTATATAATTTGTCGTTAGTTTTTCAAAGGGAAACAATCACCCTCCTAATCTCTAGTCACCCTTCCCAACTTGTACACAGAGAATATGGCAGATGAATTTTTGAAGACAGCTTTTTCAATGATTAGGCTTATTTAAAGTCAGAATCACTTCCACTACATTTTTTACATATATGAAAATTGGCAGACATACATAGAAGTTCAGCTCAGTCACTCAGTCATGTTCGACTCTGTGACCCCATGGACTGCAGCACACCAGGCCTCCCGGTCCATCACCAACTCCTGGAGTTTTACTCTAACTCATGTCCATTGAGTCGGTGATGCCATCCAACCATGTTCCCTTCTCCCACCTTCAATCTTTCCCAGCATCAGGGTCTTTTCCAATGAGTCAGTTCTTCGCATCAGGTGGCCACAGTATTGGAGTTTCAGCTTCAGCATCAGTCCTTCCAATGTATATTCAGAACTGATTTCCTTTAGGACTGGTTGGATCTCCTTGCTGTCCAAGGGACTCAAGAGTCTTCTCCAACACCACAGTTCAAAAGCATCAATTCTTCGGTACTCAGCTTTCTTTATAGTCCCAACTCTCACATCCATACATACTGGAAAAACTATAGCCTTGACTCGACGGACCTTTGTTGGCAAAGTAATGTTTCAGCTTTTTAATATGCTGTCTAGGCTGGTCATAGCTTTTCTTCCAAGGAGCAAGCCTCTTTTAATTTTATGGCTGCAGCCATCTGCAGTGATTTTGGAGTCCAAAGAAACAGTCTGTCACTGTTTCCATTGTTTCCCCATCTATTTGCCATGAAGTGATGGGACTGGATACTGTGATCTTCATTTTCTGAATGTTGAGCTTTAAGCCAACTTTTTCACTCTCCTCTTTCACTTTCATCAAGAGGCTCTTTAGTTCTTCTTCACTTTCTGCCATAAGGGTGGTGTCATCTGCATATCTGAGGTTATCGATATTTCTCCTGGCAATCTTGATTCCAGCTTGTGCTTCCTCCAGCTCAGCGTTTCTCATGATGCACTCTGCATGTAAGGTAAATAAGCCAGGTGACAATATACAGCCTTGACGTACTCCTTTTCTTATTTGGAACTAGTCTGTTTTTCCATGTCCAATTCTAACTGTTGCTTCCTGACCTGCATACAGATTTCTCAGGAGGCAGGCAGATCAGGTGGTCTGGTATTCCCATCTCTTGAAGAATTTTCCAGTTTCTTGTGATCCACACAGTCAAAGGCTTTGGCATAGTCAGTAAAGCCGAAGTAGAAACCAGAATCATACAAAACTAACCAATCTGATCACATGGACCACAGCCTTGTCTAACTCAAATGAAACTATAAGCCGTGCAGTGTAGGACCACCCAAGACAGATGGGTCATGGTGGAGAGTGCTGACAAAATGTGGTCCACTGGAGAAAGGGAATGGCAAATCACTTCAGTATTCTTGCCTTGAGAACCCCATGAACAGTATGAAAAGGCAAAAAGATAAGTACAGAAGGATCCTATAATTCTTGTTTACTCATTTCCCCACTTCCAAAATTATCCATATAAGCAATCTCATTTCATCTACATTCTCATCCACCACCACCCTCCATTATTTTAAAACAAACCCTAGACATTATAGCAACTCCTCTGTAAATAAACTCGAACATAAGCATGTTATCACATCTTACAAGACAATATCCAGTGTGAAATTTCCCTAACGGTTTCACCATTTTTTATAAGCATGTCTAAATTGGGGTTTCAATATTGAGACTACTTGAAATTGATTCTCTGTATTGTACATCTTTAACCTGCATGTATACCTTTGCTCCCTCTCAGAAGTTATAAGGAAACTACCTCATCAAGTATTTGGTTACCCTCCATCACATCTTAGTGTAAAGTAACACAAAGAACATCAAAGATAACTTTAAACATAGTATGTGAGGTTCGTTTTTTTTCCCCCTCTTCTCATCATTTCCCACATCCTGTGTTGTCCCTTTTAAACAATCTGTTTTCAAATAGAAACCTACTTCAAATCTCAATACCATAATAGTGATTTCCTTATGTTGCTCACTCTGCTACTTAGGCATCTTATGAGACCTCCACCATCTACCTGTAATCCCACTGCCCATATTAGTGATTTCCCTTCAGTACTCACCAGTTCCATTTCCCACACAGAAGTGTGGGGAGACTGCTGGCTGTGGGATGTGTTTGTCTCACACTCTGATTCTTCCCAAGACTTCCTGATTTCACTTGGACCAAGAGGCCTTTTCCTAAGACACTGTCCAGGTGGTATGTCAAGATGGAGCTTTCAAAGGTTTTAATATGATATATAATGTATGGGTGGGATTTGGGTTTGCCAGTTTCAGACTCAGAGTGTTCAAACCATCTCACTTGTTCTGCCTTCAGAAAAGCAGCGGGTGTACTTTTAGCCAGCCTCTCCTGACATTCTAGTGGTAAGAAAAGAGAATGTGGGAACATCAGGTGATGCAGCCTAGCTTACTCAGTTTCATATGGTGATTTGGGAACAATATCAGTTCAGTCGCTCAGTCATGTCCGACTCTCTGCGACCCCATAAACCGCAGCACACCAGGCCTCCCTGTCCATCACCAAGTCCTGGAGTCAACCTAAACCCACGTCCATTGAGTTGGTGATGCCATTCAACCATCTTATCCTCTGTCGTCCCCTTCTCCTCCTGCCCTCAGTCTTTCCCAGCATCAGGGTCTTTTCAAATGAGTCATCTCTCTGCATCAGGGAACAATATACTACTCACTATATGTTGTATTACTTGGCTTTCTTTTCACTTAGAGACTGAACCTGATTTGAGGTACTCCTATTCCCTTGACCAAGAACCACTAACATAGCCATTTCTAAATCCCATCCCCCAGTTATTATTTCTTTTAAGTCACTAAAAATAGTCTGCTCTGGGTGTACATGACTCAAAAACAGGTATTTGAAAGGCACTTGAGGTTGGGGGAAGAGAAAATTGGATCGGCATAATGAAATACCTTACATTCTCTGTGCACTTTCACAGCAAATCAAATGGTCACAGCTGGAAGGGGTACTCCTATTCCGAGAGTATCATTTGAGTTTCTCTTCCCAAATTCTATTGAAATAACTAATGATAACATTTTTAAGGGTTGGAGAACAGGTCAGGCTGCACTCAGGGTAGGAAATGACAAGATACAGATGTTGTTCAGTTGCTCAGTCATGTCCAACTCTTTGTGACCTGATGGCCTGCAGCACGCTAGGCCTCCCTGTCCTTCACTACCTCCCAGAGTTTGCACAAACTCATGTCCATTGAGTCAATAATGCCATCAGCCATCGCATCCTGTCGCTCCCTTCCTCCTGCCCTCAATCTTTCCCAGCATCAGGGTC